ATTATTAAATGTTACTTATAAATAAAAATATATAGGTAATGCAACCAAAATGTGAACACCGCCTAATAATGAACCACCAAACGAAAATTCAAAATAACATAAATTACTACTTAAGCGACTGTGCTATTTTTTCATAAACAATAATACATTATCTCTTTTTATCAAGACAAAAAAAATACTTACAATTTGGAGCCAAACGTGTTCACAATAAGTGTTAATATTTGTCGCCTAACTTAGCGTTCAAATAATGGACAAAGGAAACTTTAAAGGATTTAAAGTATATCTGTATGCTAAGAGAAATGAACTAATAAACATCTTTTTTTATACTACTTTGGTGGCAAACAAGCATACAGCCCGTATGTTGGTAAACGGAGTTACCGTAGTCTATGGACGCCTGTAATGTGAGGGATGTATAGTGCGCATTGCCGACCCTTAAGAAACTTAATACGTCCTTTTTGAAGAACTTCATGCTGTAGTCTCTAGGGAAAATCTCGGAATGAAGATCATTACACAACCTGTGTTCGCGGGAGGAAACTCCTCTGAAATCGCACCATGTGGTTCTGGTTCTAAGGTGTGAGGATGCATTTCCTGTCAATTGCGAGCGGTGCGATGGTAAAAGGTGGCTGTAAGCATCATATTGAAAAGTTCCCCAGAACACAATCCGTTATACTGACGGTAGAAGAATCAAAGAGAAGCAAAGAACCGCCTTAAATTAAAGGGCTCAATACCGCCCGGTTATCTTCATCATTCCTGTAGATCTAGTAACTAAAAGATGAACATATAAATTACGTCTCATTTCGTTCATTTTTCAAAGATTATTTTTGGTGTGTTAAAGAAATTTTTCTTTGTTCAATTTCTATACACTGATGTCGTAGACAATATAAGTTGAATTAAGAAAAATATTATTTCGACTTTTAGGTAATTTCAATTCTAATACAGAAGTCCTAAAGTTGAACACTAAAGTAATTTTATAGGCTTTATTTTAGGTACTTACTTATGTCCAAAAAATGAATTAAACGATAAACTTTGTTTAGATTTATTAGAAGAAGAAATATATATATAGACGATTTTTTTATTTTGTCTTGAGTAGAATTATAAGTATGATGAAGTATAAAATTGTCAGACTATTATTATTATTATTATTTTTAAAGTTTATGTTATTAGTTTAATTCTCTGTTCGACCACTATTAATAATAAACAAATATACTTACATAAAGATGGATAGACTGATAATAGACTGCGTGGAAGATGGTATGGACAGAAAAGGATTAACTATTAGCAAATAGAGAGGAATAGAAGAAGAAAACATAATAAGCCGACCCCAAATAGATTAGGGAAAAGGGTAGGAAGAAGAAGATACATAAACCAGACATTTTGCATTTAACTTAAGCAGAGTTCCTACTTATCATTTAAGAAGTAAGTACTTATATTGTTGTTTCATGATTAATATAGCTACATAAAATACATTAACAAAATTTTTCTATACCTATTTCAATATAAATTATCGAAAATATGAACAAGTGAATAACTAATTTAACTAAAAGTCGCCAAATGACGTACAAATAAACTATCGATAAATTGATTTAATGCTTTGATTGATTTAATTTCATTTAGAGAGTGTTTCTGTGATAATTTCAATAAAACTTTTACCTTATCTTTTCATTAGGTTTTTGAAAAAACCTATGCATGGTTGTACTATAACCTATAATCGCATTGTGTAATCTTATCACGTGGTTTATTCTGCATGGTGTTTACTAAGTACTTATAACTTCAAACTCATACAGTTTTTAGATACTAGATACAGACGTGTGCGTAAAAAAAACACATGTGGAGAAAAGTGCTTAAAATTTATTATTATGAGTATAGGTATAAGTAATTGTAATTGTAACCTATGTAGTTGTAAGTTTTATTATGTTAGGTATATATTTAAACAAAGTTATCCGTTGTGATAATAGATATCGTGAATAAGATGTTTCGTAGATAAGTTTCAAAGTTTTTGAACGGAGAATGCAAACTTAGGTTTGTACAAGAAAACAAGGTTTACTTCGCATAGAAACACAAAAATTTAATCTTTGCAAAATTAATAAATAGGTTCTTTATTAAATCTGGTTAAGCAACAAAAAGCTTTATTACCTGAGATGTCCTTAAAGAGATTTTTTTACCTTTTTGTATCTACACTTTTCTATTAGATGTTATTTACTTATTTCGTTAAAAAACTATTGTAACTTTTACTATACCTGTCTACGTACATAGTATAAGTGCATAGTAATATGCAAAAGAATAAGAAAGACGTTGGCGGCATTGGCTTTGAAATTCTTTATCCATTTATCCTTAGACTGACTGACTGATAAGGTGAGGCTATTTAAAATGTCATTATTAGTTTGGTCCAGGGATGCGGTCTCTTTGATCTTTTTGTGTTGCTTTTGTTTGTTATCACAGTTGCCACGCATTTTTAATATTACTAATACTTTGTATTTGGAAAGATAATATTCTAGGTAAGTAGGTAGCAAGTTATAGCTATATATATTATTATTGTTTAGATAAATTAGGTGGGTACAGTTAGTGTAGGAAAAGATACTTTAAATAAAATAAGTAATTCAGTTATACCTATAATATTTCGGCATAAGTACCTATAGATATATTTTTTTAATGAGTGATAATGGAATGGTAACCCTGCCCGAGCTATCGGTATACACTGGCGGGGCGCCAGTGAAAGATGATAGGTGAGAAAGAATGAAGGTCAGTTGGCCCACCATGATTAATTCGACAAAAATTAACCATGATGGTTTCTAGGGGGAACCGCGTAGAGGTCGACTTAAGAGGGTATATTGCTAGTAATGGGGCTATTATATCTCATTACTAACAATCCCTTTCCCCCCTACCTATAGATATTATCTATACATTGTCAAAGTTGTCTTTTTGGGTATTTTTGTACCACTATAATGTCGCTACCGATAAGCAGTTATACTTGTGTCTGCGTTTCGATTTGGAGGGTGGGATAATTATGGCAATGAAATTCAATTTAAAAAGACCTATTGAATGGTACCATGGGAATTTGTGATGTCCATAGTGTAGGTACACATATGGCAATGGTTACCATTTTCTATTAGGTGGTCAGTAAGTTTGTTTGTCATTTCATAATGCAAACAAAAGGAGTGTTAAATTATTGGGATCTAGTATTAAGTACCTACCTATATCTGAAATTTTACTGTGACATTTAAAACTAATAGAAAGAAAAAAAAAACTACTAGGAATGACACTACTAGGTAAAATAATGAATTATGAATTCATTCTAATCGGGAATATTTACATTTACACTGCTACATTTTTTTAATGGATGTAAATGGAAAGACAATTCCGCCTGTGTTATCGGTAAACATTGGCGGGGCACCAGTGACACATGGCAGTTGAGGATGAAATCAAAGTTAGCCTATCGTGACGGATTTACAAAAATTAACTAAGATGGTTTCCAGGGGGAACCACGTGGGGTATGGGATTGTATCTGATAAGGTATATTGCTAACAATGGAGTTGTTGGATTATTATTACGTGAAAAAAAAAATTGCTAAGAGAATTGACGATGATCAGACGGTATCGAACTCTTAAGTTCATTCGACTATTATGGCCTGTGCTAAGAGAAATTATTTTACACGATGCCCATTATCTATCAATTCTCGCACTATTCGCTACCTACAAGGAGTTCACCCTCATATTTTAGAGGCTGGATGGGCGCTATTGCGCTGTTTCAGAGATGCTTTCTTCCACAAATGCTGACGTTTTAGAATGAGAGATTGTCGAGATTTTTCCAAGAGACTGCAGCATGGATTTTTTCAAAAAAGTTGTAAAGAGATTTTATTGCGCGCGCATATAACCTCTGGTATTTCAGCAATTCGTAAACTACGGTAACTACTTTTTAGCATCTGGTTGGTCATATGCTTGTATGCCACCTCAGTGGTATATAAAAAAATTAAAAACAAACCTAGGGTTTGATTTTTTATAAAAATATATATAGGGGTGTAAAAAAATATACCCTTGTGTATTCCAAGTTTTTATTTATCATATCGGGTAGATCACAAAAAATTATAAATAAATACTTTTTATTTCATTAAAATAGCCTGTTTTTATTTTTTTTAATTCATCAAAAATTAATAAATATGGTTTCTAGGGGAACCACTTGGAGGTCGACCCAAACATGGAAATGGGATACAACATACAGTGGTGTATATATGGTAAGTTTGTTTATATTTTCATATTTAAATAGCTTAAGTAATAGCTTAGGTACCTACTCACAAAATCTACGCGTACAAGATTGCAGGTAAAAGCTATTTATATTTATATAAAATAATACTAAGTATAGATAAATGACAAATTAATTCTACCTTAATCACACATCATGAACAAGTGAATGGACAACTGAATAAATCTATAGGCGTGCGACTCGGATAAGATTTTACGAGAGGTCTCCCGCCGTTTTACTTACTTGCGTATGCTTACTAATGAAAAATCGGGCAAATAAAAACTAGGAAACAATCTATAAATACTCTAATAAATTTAGAAAATAGCGCTTTATAATTAAACCACATAAGGGTTTACAGTCGTAGGCATGTTTATTTATTTCATTCCTAAACTTACTCGGATCGAGAATTTAACCGAGCTTTTATTTACGTAAAGCAACACATGCCATAGAGGTGAACAAAAATCCATAATATTATTATCAATCTACATGTATTATTCCTAATCTATGTATCTACCTATATACTAATCCATCTAGGTGGCGTAGGTCATGTTACATGTGAATAAATCAAATTATTATAAATAATACTGTTAAAATGAATATTAAAAAATGTTTTAAAAGGCTGACTTCATTAACGTAGCGTTCATTATTTTTGTTGTAATTAGGCAAATTATGTCAGCGCGGACATGAGTCGACGGGCGGCTCGCGAGGAGCACTCGCCCACCCCGTCCTCACAAACTCGAATGCCATTGGTCGTCGGCGAGTCCGCCTTCTGTGGCCCAGCTGTGCTGCGCCCCTCCTGTTCAGTCTCAACACGCCGACCGTCTCTACCCGCTTCGCTCGTCGCTCAGTCGCGTTTTGTTGCGTGTTGTATAAGTGTGTCTCGTAAGCGTACATAGGTACTGAAGTGTTGTGACAGCGAGTGTATGTGCGATGCCCGGACGGTGATCGAAGAATGGTGAATTACGTCAACCCGCTCGCCATGTACCAAGGCAAGAGCGGGCAATACGGTGGTGGCTGGTACGGCTGGCAACATCAGAACTTTGAGGAGCAACAGTGGTGTGCGTGGAACGGAGCTACAGCCGGTGGAGAATGGGTGCCAGATCCCCATCACTTTCCGAAACGAGAACCAGGCGAGAGAGAAATAACAGATATCCCGTCTCCGGCGCGAGGGGATTTGGCGAGTCCAGGAGAAGGCTCGCCGGGCTCTAGGCCTTCGCAACCGCCGGCTCCGCCGCGTTCACCGTACGAATGGATGAAAAAGCCCAATTATCAGACGCAGCCGAATCCAGGTACGTTAAGTACGTAATTCGCAATTTTTTTATTTATCTATTATAAGTGTACAATAGGTACGTATAAGTAAAAAAATATATCAATAGGGTAATTATTTTTTACTATTTTAGGTACTAGGCTAATTAAATTGCAAACATTTTCATAATTAACCTACAATTTTTAATATTTTACATATTATGTTACATAGCATGACTGCACTTTGTTTGCTGATGACGTATTCGTCGTAATACTCTGCTACGATGTTGAAATATATAAAAAAGAAATAAATAAAACAATTAGTAAAATAATAGAATGGTAATGAAATAACAACTTAAATATTTATTATAATAAGACAAAGTACATTTATATATTTAGTTTATGTTTATATTAACTACTGCATATATAAATTATGCATATAATATAAACTCATTCACATATGCAGTATGGCGATTAAAAATGATCAGTTATAAAAAGACAGCCTTGCAGGCATGTTAAGTACGGTAATGTAAATTCTATTCTAGAATATGCTATTTTTCTTTGGAGTAACTCATGTCATTGCATGATGCATTCAGAAACAATGCGTCAGGACAATTTGTAATGTTGACATGCACATATCTTGACGATTACTGTACAGAACGCTAAAAAATGTTTTTCTTTTTTTTATGTCTATGAAGCTTGTGTATTTTTTAATACGCACATATATCTATTTAAAAGAAAAAAATTGGTCAAAAGTGAGGTATGTTCACTCGCAGCTGGATTCTGTATATAAAAAGATTTTTATTGTGTTTACATTAAATATATTTGAACATGTTGTACACTTCAAAAATACACGGAATAGAGAAATAAAACCACAACAAGACGAACGTGTTAAAAATTTGCAATTATTATAATATAAAGAATACAAATCGATCGATACGGTACATAGAAAAAAAATAAAGTACTAGACAATGTATATCTCCGTAGGTATAACAATATCATATTGTAATCTACATTTTTAATAAATCTTTATTTAAATGTAGTCCTAAAATGTATTGAAAAATTATACATTTGTAATTAATAATATATAAATGACCAATTTATAGTATTTTTATATGGCATAGACATCTAACAATAATTATTGTTATTTAAATTAATATTTGATGATTTATGTCACGTAGCTAGAAACCCGACCGCAAAATTAAGTTTGACAGACAAAGTGGCACTATATGGGTTTCTTTTGTACGTATTTGGAACGGAGTCCTAAAAAAGTTTACCTTAATTTTAACACGAAAAATCCGCATAATCTAATTCTACCCTACAAAACGTCAAATTTGGCAGAATTGCCTATTGTATGACAATAAAAATTTACAATCTATTAGATAATGCAATAAAAACACCACCACTAAATGCATTTGGAAATAAATTAAAAAGTTGGCAAACGGATAAATGCTTTTACTCTATTGATGAATTCTTTAAAGCATGTATATTATTGTAACCGATATATTTTGACATTTAAGTAGGTATTTTGTTATATCAGTAAATGTAAAATAGTATGTTTCGCGGGCCTTTGATCAGCTATTTAATATTTTACCTTCCGGTATTATCATCAAAGATCACTGGTAAAACCATGTACCAACTTTATACCATTCTTCACGCAAAATAAAGATATTTGATTTGATTGATTTAAGTAAAATAAAGTGGATACAACCGATCTATCTATTTAGTCATAGTATTATATTATGGTATGGCAATTTATATTTTATTTCCATTTTCTATATCAATTGAAAATAATATTATTTGTTTGTATTTATAATAAGATTACTATTGTAATCTCATGGAGGTAACAAAAAAGAGTATCCATCTATTATGCTTTTCTAACTACCTACATACTGGTATATAACAATAGAGGAAGGTGTCTATCTAGCCAGTAAAATTACATTAGTATCCACTAAATAAAATAACGAATACATCTTAATTTTTAATATAAGGTGACATACCTAAAAGCAGATGGGTATATGGATTGATGTATGTACTCTCTGAGTGTTATTTTTACGAATGTGTTTGTATTATGGACACTATATACTACTTGTACACAATATTACTCGTATTCAGGCAGATACTGACTGACTAGAAAACAATCATAGTGACAAGATAAAAATCAATTACATTGCTGTTCATGTAATGTAAATATGTGTGTGACATTTCCAAATTTACAAGAAATTGAATTGTTTGTGTATCAGCACCAATCTTCTCATATATCGGTATAATATAATGTCCCTATGTTTGAAATTAGGAGGTAAGTATTAAGTATTGCAGCAGATATTAGCAATTTTTTTAGAGCATTATTTTTAAGATTAAGTATTTGTTTGTATAATACACGTAGTATAATACCGTAGATATATTGATAGACTAAAAACGCTATCACAGAGACAAAAATAAATTACACTAGTGTGCATGTTATGTACAACAATTACATGTACACTAGTGTTATTGTGTGTCATGTAACAATTTCGAATTTATAAGAAATTGAAGCTTTGAATGAGCCCATCCAGCACCATTCGCGTAAATATATGTTATTATTTTAATTCAATTCTTCGGTGTTTATACCTGTATTAAGTTTAAATACGATTTTTGTTCTATCAATTATTATATAAAACATTTGTATAATTTATATAACTGTATTTAAATTGTTTAATTGTTATTAAGCTTATTTATGTATAAGCTGTGCAATTTTGTATTTCTTTTACAATTTTTGTTTTTTTTAAGTAGCTAGACAACGCCTACATTTTGTTGTATTTGTGAATTTTTACTAACTATTTATACGATCAATTAATTACTCTTCAAAACGTGGTCAGAATTTGTTTCATTCATAAATTCCGCTAAATGTTTTAGAACTTATATTGTATATATTTATAAACTTTCCTGTTTATGTTGTTTACTTTTGTGCGATGACTTGAACAGTACTTTTCCATTTGACGTGTTTATTTACTATTATTCCGAGAAAGAGAATGTTTTAACTTTTTTAATTATTTCTTTCATTTGATCTTATTCTTTCGATAACGTCTCAATTATCTCAAGTTCATTTAATTTTATGCATTGTTTTCATAATTTATTATTTTTAGTTTTATACTACTTAGTATTATACTTTCGAATTAGAGAGGCCAATTTGAGAAATATAATTTTATAAAATTATTGAGAGGAAAAGATAAAATGATTTATTTATACCACATTTGGATAAAATTACCAGTATCCTATACAGCGCTAATTAATAGCAAACTAATTGGAACTTGTAGGTACTATGAGTAGTTATTAAACAAATGATAGAATTCAGTAAATATTTTTAATTTGCATCGATACAAAATACTCAGAATATAAAAATCTTTTTAAAGCCTTTACCATTAGAAGGTGGCTTCTCTGTATTTATTTTAAATATCTACTCAATTAATACATACATTGATTTTTACAGAAGGTACGTTACATGCTCAAGAAACAACTTAAAAAAAAAAACGTTCATAACGCAGCAATAACATACATAAAGTACCCTATCATTTTTTATTCATTTATTTTACCATATAGTTAAAAATAAAATAAAGATTGGAATTATTAAAGTAATAAGAATAAATGACATATTTATTAACTACCGGTTTAACTTATGTATAATTAGATCGAGAAAGCTGGACTAGTTTCGGGATCAATTTGTGATCCTTGATCATGAGCGGCTGTGATGCGAGCGCTTGCGTCACAGCCGCTTATATGTGAGTTGAACCGGTAGTTATCACATCAAAATATAAGGAGTGCTTAAGAAACTTTTAATTACATAGTTCTTGTTGTCATTTGCAACTTATTGTATCAAAATGTATGTTATATCTGTTAGAGACGCCAGTTAAGAGTCTTGTCCGCGTCTCATTCTAAGCGAGCTTAAGAAGTATCTACCTACTTTTTTTATTATACGAGTAATATAAATAGCAATGGAATGTATTTCTGGTGATAAATAATTAATACATAAATTATAAGGCCTTGTCATACGAATTGGTGGAAGCTCTAATGCTTAACGAGATATTATGTAATCTGACTATACTTACTAAATAAATAAATGAATAATATCATTAAATATAAATAATACATTCTTATAAAAAATAATAAGGTATTTGTACATATTTGCTCTACTGTGTTGGTCCAAGGTGAACTTTATCTTGTCAAGGGAAACAAGAATCTATATAGAAATCTATTGCACCGTACATTAAAAAATATTTTATTTCCATAGTTATTCACTATATACAAAACAGGGTGAAGGGTTGGCAAGTATATTTATAAGCAAGAAGAAGAGGCCTATGTTCAACAGTGGACAGTTAACGGCTGGTATAATAAAAATAATACTCAAGAAAGTATTTTATTACTTTTTTCCCAATGAAATATATTAAAAAAAAGGAACAAAAAGAGAAACTCTATAGGTACCTACCTACTAATAGGTACTACGGGGGGTAAGGGATTGTTAGCAATGGAGTTTGACAGCCCCATTGCTAGCAATATTAGGTCGACCTCCACGTGATTCCCCCTGGAAACCATCGTGAACAATTCTTGTTGAATTCGTCACGATGGGCTTATAGCGTGCTTCATCCTCACCTATTATCCATCACTCCGGTGCGGTTGGGATACCATTCCATTATCACCCATTAAAAAAAAATAGTTACTACGAATATGGCGCGTCGCGTATAGTTAGTATGGAAGCGTAATTTTTTTTATAATTTGTAACCATGTTTCATTTCTTCAAGTAATGTTTAGTTTCATTGGTAGAACATTCCCTTAAAGAAAACCTTTAGTTTATGACATCCTCCTATATACGAGTATAATCTTCTTTCATCATGCGTGCGGCAAATGAATGATATATTCCTTGCGTCCGATTATTAAACATTGAATTTATTTCAATTCGCTTAAATTTCATAGGATAATTACTTCGATTTTTAAATATTGGTTATTGGTTACTCTAACGAATAAACTTTAATTAAAGGCATTTTAAGCGCAGCCTAACATACAAGGTAGTTCGAAGACA